TTCCTCTTTCTTTTTACACACTCTATCCCAGCTAATCCAATTTATTTTTCTCTCCTCTCCCTTCCCTCCCCATAAAAAGCTTTTACGAAGTTTGTCAATGGATTGAATTATACCTTTTGGGATAACATAGACGGACATCAAGAACACTGGTAGGCTTGACAGCACTGAATTGATGACCGTGATGCGGCCTCCCATCGATAGATACCTCCCCTTCCAGCTGGCTAACTTCTTTCTAACAGACTCCACCATAGGCTGCCACATGGCTTTTCTTCTATGATTCCTACCAATAAGGATTCCTAAGTACTTGAATGGCAATTTCCCTTCCTTGCAGCACAATTGGTATGCCATTTTAGCACTCCAATTCTGATCAACTCCCACACCAATCAACTGGCTCTTTCCGAAATTAATCTTCAGTCCTGAGGCTAACTCGAATGTTCTCATAATGCATTTGATCACCCTAATATTGTCTTCTGTTGCATCCCCAAAGAAGATTGTGTCATCCGTAAATTGAAGGTGTGTGACCATCGCATCTCCACTCCCAATGCCCACTCCTTTATACCTCTCCTTATCCACTGCTGATGACATTAATCCGTTCAGCCCCTCTGCCACAATCAAGAATAGAAAAGGAGATAAAGGATCTCCTTGACGGATACCTTTATTAACCGAAAATTGATTCGTCGGGCTGCCATTGATTAGAATAGAGACCGAGCTCGAATTCAAGCACTCTTGAATCCATTTCCTCCAAGTTGCACAAAATCCCATTCTCATCATCATGTAGTCTATGAATTCCCAGCTTACTTTGTCGTAAGCTTTCTCGAAGTCGACTTTAAAAAGGAATCCCTTCTTCTTTTTCCTCTTAACTTTGTCGAGAATCTCATTTGCAATCACTGCCCCTTCTACTAACTGCCTTCCTTCTATAAAAGCCATCTGCTGCTCCCCAATCACCTTCGGTAACACTTTCCGTAGTCGGTTCGCTAATAACTTTGCCATGATCTTGTAAGTGACTCCTATTAGCGAGATGGGTCTAAATTCCTCTATTGCTTGTGGATTTTCTGTCTTTGGAATTAACACAATGAAAGAGGCATTTGACCCCCTGACCATCTTGCCATGTTGATGGAATTCCCGTACAAAGTTGATTATATCATCTTTAACAACCTCCCACATTGTCATAATGAATCTGAAGTTGAATCCATCTGGTCTTGGGGATTTAGAAGGATCACAATTCCATATTGCTTCTTTAATTTCCTGTTCTGAAAAAATAGTAGTGAGGAGCTCATTATCAGTTTTCGTGATTTGCCTAAAGCATATTCCATCGAGCTTTGGTCTCCTCCAATTTTCTTCTGTAAACAATTCTTGGAAGTACTTAGCAACCTCTCGCTTTATTACCTCCACTCCTGTATACTGCTCCCCATTTATCCGGATACTATTAATTTCATTTCTGCACCATCTTCCCTTGATGCTTCTATGGAAGAATTTTGTATTCGCGTCACCTTCCTTTAGCCACTACTTTCTTGATTTTTGTTGACTCATCCTCTCCTTGATTTTTAAATTCTTCCACAATTCAATAAAACTGTTCCTTCTCAGCTCAATATCAATATCTGACAACTGGTGCTGCTCTCCTTTCTTATCAATTGAAGCGATCAAAAGTTCTGCTTCCTTTATTCTTCCTTCCATCTCCCTGTTGGTTTTGCCACTCCACTCCTTCAGTGCCTTCTTTGTTCTTTTCAGTTTTTCTTTAAGTTTAAAACCATTCCAACCCTTCACATCGCTGTCACTCCATACACTTACAATCACTTCCTTACATCCCGATTGATCCAACCAAGAATCAAAAAATCTGAACGGTTTTGGTCCCCAGTCGACCTACTCATTTTTTATCACAATAGGGCAGTGATCCGATACAGATCTCTTCAAACCCCATTGTTTCATTTCACTCCACTTTGACATCCATTCTTCAGAAAACAGGAATCTATCAATTCTGCTCATTTGTTGCCCATTTGAATTATACCAAGTGTATTTTCTCCCTATCAACGGTAAGTCAACCAACTCGGTGTTGTGGGTGAAAGCATCAAACTCCCTCATTTCATTTGAAACCACCTTACATCCAGCTCTTTCCTCCACCCTCCTTACAGCATTAAAATCCCCAGCTAAGCACCACATCCCCTTTCTGTTATTTATTAGACCTTGCAGCTCCTCCCATAAGGCTCTTTTTCTTGAAATTTGACACTGGGAATAAATATTTAAAATGTATACAGGTATCTCCTCCACTCCCCACAGTCCAAATACCCCTATAAAATTATCCCCCTCTATAGTCTCTTTCTTCTTCAATATTTTAGAATCCCAGACACATATCAGACCTCCAGACATGCCTGTAGACGATTTTGCAACCCAATCCATATCCTCAGACCCTCATAAATTTCTACAGATCTTTCTATCAATTGTATCCATCTTGGTTTCTTGTACAGCTAAAAATTGGATTTTCTCCTTGATAATAAATTCCCTAATCTGTGCTTTCTTCCCTACCCCTCCAAGACCCCTAACATTAAATGACATAATTATCATTGGGTGCTCCACATACCTTCCTGCTGCCTTTTTCCTCTCGGTTCACCATAATCCTCTTTGCTCTTTGATCTCTATCCTCCATCTCCTCTATTCTTTGAATCACCTCATTGTCGTTCTCCGCCACCGCTCCGAGCTGCGTCGCCAAGTCCCATATCTCCTTTGCGAGTTGGGTTTGCCACTGTTTCTTCAATGCCCTGTTAACATTATGAATATCACTATCCCCTACCGAGTCTCCGCAGCCTTTCCTTCCTGGTTCGGCATGAAGATTGGAGCTGGTCTCTCCTCTTTTCGCTGTGAGTTCTTCTTCTTTCTTCCTCTCTTTCTTCCTGCCGTTGCCTCACTGATCCTGGGCTGTCGATACACCGAGCTACACCTTCTGACCTTCATTCTGCGATTTTTTGAGCTAAACTCCTCCAGCTGTTTGCCGATCCAAACTTCTATTCGGCTTCTCTCTAATTCGTGTCCCTTCTAGAAAGCATCTTCTTCTCCATCGCCCTTATCTTCTGCAGGTTCTCCGATTCCAGAAATGACCCTGCTTTGTTGTGCTACTGGAGTCTCCTTTATTGTTTCTACTTGGGCCCCATCCACATTTGTGGATTCCATTGCCCTTGGGCTTTCCTTCCGCGAGGTGGGCCTTGCCATTGGCTGATCTCTGGGCTTCAATTTGTGATTAATATCTTCTCCTGATTTTTCTCCAATTTCCGAAGATGAGGCCTGCACCGTCTGTCCTGTAGCCCCACCACCTGTCCTCCTGCTTCTTTCCCTTGCATTTGAAATTTGAAATTCATCCAGGTTGTCACCAATGATCTCTGCTGCAACCCCTGCTTCCTTGCTGATTTGTTCTAACTTACTTCTTTCTTCCTCTTTCCTACGTCTTCTTATGTCATCATCTTCTTCAACTGGACACTCGAATTGAACCTCCTCGTTCCTCCACACATCTTCCTCATCAAGCATCTCCGGCTCTGTTCCGGTGGACCATGATTCCCTATCTTCAGACTCACTGTTAAAAGAAGGAATAAAATCATGCTTCAAGGAGAAAAAGCAATTGGTGAATTCCTCTTCTGTAAATTTCAGCTTGTAAAAGCTTCCATTGATTTTGATTTCCCTTGAAACTGATATTGTCTCCATTATTGGAGTAGAAATAAAAAATCTTGCAACATCGAACCTTTCCTTCTTGCTTGTACTGTCATCCAAGCACATGAAGTTTCCCCATGAACGGCCCATGGTTGAAAAGAAATCACTTCCCCAAACATTCACTGGAGCCCCTTGACACCTTATCCACACATATCTCTCTTTTGCTGTCATCTGTGGTAATTAAATAAGTATATGGAGTACTTAAACTCATATACAAAATTAAGAAATTATTAATTACTCAATTTAATTACTGACTTTTAATCAAGTTTATACTACCTATTGTAAAGTAGTTCATTTGCGAACACATGTCCTTTGGAGTAATGATCCAGTCCGGGCTGATAAGAAAAAACATTTCTATCCACCAAATGTGAACTAAATTAAAAAAAGTTGAATTTGCATATAATCAAGGGGACGTTTGGTATGTACTTTAGGAAACAAGTTCTTTAGAAAAATTTCCCAAAAGCAGCAATTTAATTCCACCATTCCCGCATTCCGTCAACCAAACGCACCACGTACGCCAAGTGAATCACATTGATAGATGATTAAACGCACTACTTTAATGGAACTTTGACCCTAAATGTTTTGTGAATCACCTTTGAGAGAATACACTAAAGCAATAAACATTTAAACAGCAAATAGCATTACTAGTCTTTATCACCATTTCCACGTAAATTCTTTTACGAGTTCTTTATTTGGCTAAAAGCTGTTCCACTCTGATGCTCATGCAATTTCATATTGTTCGCTTTTAACGGCGAGAAGATGAATTATTAATGAGAATCTTCAAACCATGGTTACGACCACCATGATAATTTTATTAACATTATTAAAATTATTAAATTTTTATTTTAATTTGACTGTTAAAAATATTTAACATTTATTATTTAATATATTAAAATATTTTTAAATTTTTTATTATTATTCTTAATATTTTAATTACAAGATATTTAGATTTTTTTCAACTTAAAAACTTTTGAAAAATATATATATATATATATATATATTTTTAAAAGAGGAGCTTATCATATTCATTGCAAATATCGTCTATGTCTTTTCTCTTTTGCCATGTTACCAATTTGATCCTTCAATTTTGATGTTACGGAATTAAAATAGAACTGTTTAATGTTACATATTATTAATATTTTAAAAAAGAACTGATTTTGTGACAAAATAATGAGTTATTTGGCACTTCCATTAATAAAAGGATTATTTTCGTATTGAAAATTAAAATTCAAAGATAATTTTAATATTTTTCAAAATTTAAGAACAATTTTGATATGAGTTTGAAAGTTGGGGGATCAAATTAATATTTTTACATTTCTAAAAAAAAAAAAAAAAAAAAAAGATAACCTAGAGAA